TACCCACCCCATGCTCCAGTCACTAACCTACACTTCTGTTCTTTTAATTGTTGAAGAATTGGGCCCCATAAGCGGCCAGGGATTTTGGGTGACTCCAACCTGAAACACCCAACACCTCATTTTCAGAAGCCCTGAGTACGTGCAGCTCCCATTAACTTCAGCTGCAGTTGCGGGCCCTGAGCTCCTCTGATAATCAGACCGCCGGTGTCTCATGTTGGGTTCCAAATATCAAGTCACCCAAGGACACTGGCTGCTTTTGAAATGTTGGGTCTTAATTTACAGAAGCTCATGTCCCGAGCTCTCTGGGTACCTTAGCAAATACATGTCCAGTGGAATGCCTGAGGAAAATTTCCATGTCTGAGTTTTATTCTAAAGCAAACACCTGCTTCACTCACCACAAGAGAGCAGAGTGCAGAAGGCCATGCATGCCTCGTTTGCAAAACTGTGTACTCTCTGCAGAAGACACTCATATTCTTCCTCTTTCTGAGTTGCCCTTTACTCTATAAAGAGTCCTATTAATTCCAATGGGATTATTTGTGGAGTAAGGTATTACTCAACCTGAGTAAGGGCATCAGAATCTGGTTTTATGTGAATGCAATAGTCTCCTCCTCTCCTTTGGCCTCATCATCATTCTACATATTAATTAATAAATGAAATGAGCGTACAAGCCTGATCACAGATTCCTCCCGCTTGAAGAAGGATTGTGATTTTACACATGCACTCAAAGGAACAGTCTATTTTATACTATTGCATCTAACCAAACACCATTGTATAACAGCCTTGTGATAGATTCTCAGTCTATAGACAACAGTCCTGATTTACCTCTCCCTTACCCCAGTGTAAATCAGAGTGGTTCCTTTGACGTCAATGGAGTTACACCAGAGAAAGTGAGATCGGAATCAAGGTTCGCTGTTTTCATTGGTGGTCCACTGGGAAAGTATTGAGATCCACGCATTGTGCTAGTGAGGCCTTTTCTGATTTCTATTGGTGGGTAATGCAGAAAATCACACTAGACTGATACAGATTTTTATCATGCAGCTAGATATCCAGACTACAATCTGAGACTCCAGCCCAGGAGAACTCCTGTTAAGAATCTGTTTACATAACGAAAAGAAAATCGGAGCAGTATTCAGTAGTTTCTGTTAAATTATCAAAGGTTATAAAGTAACAAGAGACAGCCTCATAAAAGAACTTCTCCATCAAAATACAGACTTTACAAGGATTCCCTGTCTACAATCTGTCTGTCTCATCTACTTTATAGCTTTTATCATGTACTGTCACCTTGGTATCTAAATGCCTTATGCTAGTTTGCAGAGCCATATCTACTGGCTTTACTCACCAACCCAGTTTTGTACTTCTTCTAAACCTGCAGAGACAATGCAGCTATGGCTATGGGAAAAATGAGTTGGGTTCAGTTCTGCCTCCTGCATTGTTTGCTAAATTCCAGCTGCAGAATCTTTCTTATGATACGAAAGGGCGGTGAGAAGAGAACCCAGCTTGATATATGTGTCTCCGATTAATTTCATGCACAGTGAGGGTGCCGCTTCATTTTTAATGCATGGCTGCTGGTGAGTAGTGTGTGACAGGCAGGCTCTCAGAATGGGGATATTTGACACCACCATTGTGATGCAGTTGTCAGAGTTATGTTGCAGTCCTTCATTTCCAGTTACGGAGGTCTCCATAGCGGCAGGTATCTGGGGCCGGGATGGCGTCATTCAATAACAATATAATAGCAGCGCTTTGCACCTACCATCTGACGTCCTGATGTGCTTGTAACTGGGGGATGATTTCTAGAGCCCAGCACAGGAAGGAATACAGGGCTCCTTCTACTGAGCTGTCATAAATTCATGTGCTGGAACCCTGCACTGAGACGCAGAGGTATTTGTGCTGAATTATCCTGAGGTTAGTCCAGAAGTTTGCAATTAGTTCCAATATGGGGGTATAAAGGAGGGTGAAGTTCCTATTTCTCTGAGGAAGAGGTAACTAGGGGAGGACCCTAGTGAGGGTTTGCAGGAAAGGCCTAAGAACGGCCAAGCTTGGGGAGAACTCTGTTATCTGAGTTAGCAGTAAAGCCAACCCTTAGGAAGGGGGCATGTTTGGATTGTATGCAGTGTGTGCATGTACAGAAAGAACAGGGTGGCAGCTTATTTTACAAATGGGGAAACTCAGAGAAGTGAAGTGACTTCCCCAACTCACACAAGGAGGTCAATGGCAGACTTAGGAACAGAGCCCAGGTCCTCTAACTAGTCCCCTCCTCTAACCATTAGAGCTGCTGCTTTTGCAGCATCAGTGGTGTGAAGAGGGTGTGGGGGTGCTTGCTATGGAATAATTCCACCCGAGGCACATCTGGATCCCTAACCCTCTGCAGGCTTCCATACCGCTTCATAAAGAGTGTGGGATCTTCAAATGCATCCGGAACTGTGAAACAGGAGTCCTCCCAGAGCATTCATCTAGGCTCTCCGGGTCAGCCACATTGGTACTGTGTGCAGTGCCATAGCGCCTCGGAGCCCCAGTCACGGACCAGGACCCCAGTGCGCTAGGCGCTGTTCAAACACAGAACCAAGAGATGGTCCCTGCCCCAAAGAGCTTCCAGTCTCAGCACATTCAAAACTGGCAAAGACCTCGTAGCTCCCATCTAGTTCATGCCCCTGTCAGTGCAGGATTGCTCCCTGTGATATATTTTCCAGAGCATTTATTACCTAAGAGTTTTTGACAGTGCTCATCACTGTAATACTTATGTGCTTCCCAGGTAAAGTAGATCTGCAGAACCAGGCCCCTAATAGACTGCGTGGGGTCTAATGCCCTTTTCCAGGATCATTTTAACTCCGGGGTTTCCACTGTCTCCCTTAGAAGACTAAGCAACAGTGTCATTGATTTCAGTTGCGTTGACTCCACACATTTTGGAAATTGAGTCAACTGGGTAATTAGCTGACACTTGCAAAGTGGTGCATAAATTCTAGTTGGTTAGGTTTTTGGGTTAACAACTCAGCATTTCCATATTTTACAACCCTATTATTATTAACGATGGTAATGTTTTATCTTTGCTTAGAATTCCTTGGTTTCCTTTTGTTCATTATTTCTGAGAGAAACCCTCCCACAAACCTACCATAAATATCCTTCCAATTTCTTACTTTTTCTTAAGTTACTGATTCCATTTTAACGAAGTTTTTAGTTTGAGGAAATTCCTAAAATTAGTTTTTCACTCTCTGACCCTGCATAACGTATCTATCTTTGAGCAGGGGGTTGGACTAGATGACCTCCTGAGGTCCCTTCCAACCCTGATCTTCTATGATTCTATCTATATAATTAGTGATACCGATTGTACTAACAAAACATCCTTTAATTCTCAGATGTAATAGCATAAAACTGCATTGGCCACAATCCAGTTCTGGTTTTGTTAGTCTAAACAAAGCAGAGACCAGACAACAGGAAGAACTAAGCTTTTGGTTGCCAATTTGATTGCTATGCTTCATTAATTTTTAGTGATATCTAGTGCCACCTAGCGATGAGCAGAGAGTAAGCAGAAACAATTGCATTGGTGGGGTCATGAGAACAGTTAGGCGTTGATCACGCAGGGAAATTTTTTAAAAAAAGGAGTACTTGTGGCACCTTAGAGACTAACAAATTTATTTGAGCATAAGCTTTCGTGTGGCTCGAGTATCTTTTTAGCCAGGTTTTCAGTTTAGATACTTGCAGCGGTGTGTGTGTGTGTTTTAAATCCTTACTAAGATTAGGTCTACACACAAACTTGCACTGAAATAATTACATCTGTTTGAATTCAGATCTCTTATTATTTCAGCACAAGTCTATGCGTGGACACTTATTCTGGAATAAAAGTGCCTTGTTTAGATTTTGTGTCCTATTTTACTGACTTAAGCAAAATTGAAATGAGACCCTTTGATCCCAAAATATGTATCCACACATGGATCTGCTCCGAAATAACAAGAGGAGTGAATTCAAACTGATTTAGTTGTTTCAGTGCGAGTCTGTTATAAACCAGCTCTTAGCGCTGGTGAAAGATGCTAGATTCACAATCCTGTTTGCAGGAGATGAGTAACTGTCATTGAAGACAGTGGACATGACATCAGCTTCTGCAGTGGGGACTACCAGACCCCTGGAAACTGACACATGTTCTTCTTCTGTAGAACAGGTGTAATATATACAGCAGCATTGCAAGCTTCCCTGAGCATTGCTTTGCCACTGTATCTTAACCCTGGCTTGGAGGGGTGAATTAGGAATATATTAATGTCTTCTCTGTGAAGACTGCTAATAAAGGTGCCAGTTCATGCTGATTGTGCTACTTCTTGTCCTGACATTTTATGTGAGCACTAAAACTGCATTTAAAACACACACACACACACACAAAACCCAGACAAACCCTTTGATCCAGAAGATCTATATGCATCTAAGTGATAAATGTGTGTGAAAATGCCCATAAGTAAAGATGGTTGGAAAATGGATTTTCAATCCAGCAAAAAATTTTGAGGCGTCAAAAAATAAAATCATCCTGAATTGGGACAAAAAGCAAAAGGATTGAAATTTCCCACTCAATGAAATACTCCCTCAAAATTCATTTGAGGTCAGCCGAAATGTTTCATTTTGATTTTGACCCTTTTTATTTTATTTTCAATTTTCTGTATAAAACGAAGTAAACTTTGAAAGAACAAGTCTTCTGAGATGAAAAATCAAAACTTTTCACTTCAAAAATGTCAAAACGAGGCATTTCACCATTTTTGAAACTTCTTTCCAATTTTGGTCTATGTGAAATTTCACCAAAATCAATGCGATTTAACAAAAAATAAATAAGAGGTTTCATTGAAACTGCATTTTCCAGTGGAAAAACGTTTAATCAACAAAATTTCAACTAGCTTGACTACAAAAGCTGTTTTCTGCCTCTCCTTGTCACTTGTAATGTGTAGAAATGTCCAGAAGAGGTCTGTGTTCTCCCACTTTTAGGTCCTCCACATGCCATGACTCCAACCATGTGGTTTCATTTACAGAATGCTGAGCTGGCTGGAAAGTTTGATCATCAACAACGCAGCAATAACGCTTCTCACGTCTCTAGCGCTTTTCATCTGAGGACCTCAAAGTGCTTTACAAGTGTTAATGAAGGATTGCTAATCAGGCAATTTATATGAGCAAGAGTTGCAAGATCTGCCTCAACTGAGGTAGATATGCATGTGGGGTAGGTATTCAGATGGGGAAGCCGGGTGGGCAAGTCAATAAACTCCCCCGGAGGCTCCTCAGACCCTCCTCTTCCTTTCCAGCAAAGGAACATTTGAAAAGGATACATAGCATCACTAATGGGCCACCTACCTCAACGTGCTGGCTCCTGATTCAGTGCAGCATAATATCACCACACAGAGGAGGCAGGTGCCCTTTAAAATGCCACCATCGTGGGGTGGAGTTACACTGTGTGTGCAAAACACACCCCGCAGATCCTGACACCAGCAGAGCGACAACAGCACTGATCCAGCTTAGAGCTATGTCCTTATATACCCATAATGAAAATCTAGTGTCGTGCAACCAGGCGATCAGGCCCCACACCTCGGGCATGGGCTCCAGGTTGGTTTGCTCCACCCCAAACTGGTCAGGGAAGCTGCGGTTAGGTTCTTCCTGTGGCCACCTTGGTCCGCCTGGACACAGTCGCTCTTGTGGGCCTACTCAAAGCCATTATTGCCAGGGGATGTTGTGAAAGCCTAAACTATACTAGGGTTCAGAAGAGAACATAGATAAATTATGGAGGATAGGTCCATCAATGGCTATTAGCCTGGATGGGCAGGGATGCAACCCCATGCTCTGGGTGTCCCTAGTCTCTGACTGCCAGAAGCTGGGAGTGGACGACAGGGGATGGATCACTTGATGATTACCTGTTTTGTTAATTCCCTCTGGGGCACCTGGCGTTGGCCACTGTCGGAAGACAGGATACTGGGCTAGATAGACCTTTGGTCTGACCCAGTATGGCTGTTCTTAAGTTCGTATGTTTTGTGTTCCTGTGATATACAGTGTTGGCAACTCTCAGGAATTTATCACAGGTCTTGCAATATTTTCTCAAAGCCCCAGCTCCTGGAATCATGTGAAAACTAAGAATTGCAGCTTACATTTAAAAAAAAATATATTTCTAGCCCTCATTATAGTGAAGAAAATTTTGTTATTATTTATATTGTGGTAGCACCTAGGAGCCCCAGTCATGGAATGGGACCCAATTGTGCTCGGTGCAGTACAAACACAGAAAACCCCCCCCCCCCCAATTGTGCTCTAAAGAATTTAGCTTGAAAACATGACCCCTCTGACACCAAAGAGGTGAAGAAAAAGAGTTTCTATTATGTGTAAATTCTCACAGTTTTTAAGCCAATCTCGTGGCGTTTTGTGCCTGACTCAAATGTTGACACTGGGCGTTGGCACTAGTGGATTTAGTAATGCTGAGTAACCTTGTACAGTGGGACAAATTCTAGTCTCATTTACACTAGGGCAACTCCAGAATCCCCATGAGCACTCTGATGTCTATTGCAGATGAACCTTTCATATTCACCAGTGGTGATCGATCATGCATTTACATGGTTCAGACTGACCAAGAGCTCCATTTATGCGCCTATTAACTGAAATGCTTAGCTTACCGGTGTTGGGATCCTACAGGATCTGAGTTTCATGTTGCTCACACTGGGTAAAGGAGGAGTAACTCCACAGAAGTCATTAAGCCAGCATAAAATATATGTGAGAAGAGAAGCAGGCCCTTGGCATCTGTAGGTCCAGTTTGTGTGATATCCTTACCCATCTCATGTGGTACCATATTTTCATTGGCTTTGGTGGCACGACTTGTGACATATGAGACTATTCAGTGTAAGGATGGCCAAATCTGGCACTCTGTCAGTGTATACTTAAATATTTTGGAGAGGCAGAGTAGCCCAGTAGCTAACCCAGCACACCAGAGTTGGGTCTGGAGACTTGACTTCTAGTGCTGGCTCGATCACTAACTCACTGTGTGATCGTGGGCAAATCACTTCCCCTCCCCATGCCTCAGTTTCCCCACCTGTACAATGGGGATAAAGACCTTTGTGAAATACGTTGAGGTCTACGGATGAGACGTGCTAAGTACAATTATGAATATTTTATTTGGTTATCCTGTAGATCCAATTTAACAATCATAACTTTCAAAAAATGCGTCCAAGGTTGAGAAAAACAGTGAGGCACCCTCACAAAATGCCACAAAACTTTTCGTAGGCAGTACTTGAAGCCCAGGTCGAAAAGCCCTGTTCAAACGAGGTAAGAGAAAGGAAAAGACGGTGCCAAAGACCGTAGGGGCTTAATCACTCTTGCCTGCATGTTGCTTGCAAACATATCTGATTTAACATTTTGTTTACACACCTGTATTTCCAGTAAACATCTCTCCTTTAAAACAAAACCTGGAGGCACACATATATGTCTGCTGGAAATGCTCCCAGTTACACGCAGAATTTTCCATCAAATCAGCCAAATAAGAGTGTGGTAGAGACAGTCACCTGCATTCTGGATTATTGTCACAGATTATCTGCATTACAGCAACTCCCAAAGGCTCCAATCAAGGTCAAGGCCCCAGCAGCCGAAGAGGGGTTTAAATCCCTTCTTCTCGTCAGGCAGATGGGGCTGGGGGGGGAGGTGGTCTTAAACAGGGATCTCCCACTACCCAGGTTAGAGTCATTCTAACTCATTTTCTGTCCCAGTGAGTATTTAGCTATTCAATGATTTAGTTCAAGTTGAACAACTCCAGCAGGAGAGATGGAGGGAACCCCACTCAGAATATCCCATAGCCCGGGAATTGGAGCACTAGCAGAGAGGTTGGAGATACCTGTTCAAATCCCTTCTCCTGTTCAGACAGAGGGGGGACGTGAACTGGTGGTCTCTAACCAGTAGGCTAAAGGTTCCCTTGACTTGCATAGATCTTAGGGGCCTCTGCACACGCCTACCAGCTCGGGCCCTACGGGTGACTGAGCGCCGACCTTCCCCCAGGTCCTGGCTTGCTATGGGGCTGAGGTGGGAGAAAGGCTCCTGGGTGCCTAGAAGGAGGCAGCGGTGCACTCAGAGGCAGAAATATAGGAACCAAGGGTGCTTCTGCTGAGCAGCAGCCGAGTGGGAGTTCTATGGAGGGCAAAGGCACCTAAAAATGGGACTTAGGCACCTAAATCTGGGGGGGGTCAGGCACCTAAGCACCTTTTTGTGGATAGGGGCATTGTGCTTGGTGCTGTACATATGTGGCCCACTGTTCAGCGTGCGCTGTACGTCTGCCTCTAGTAGCTCATCCACAGGGGATGTGAGTCGGCTACAGTTACCAGCGAAGGCCCCGATCCTGCAAAGCTTTTCGCTTTGTGCTTAACTTTACACACTGTGAGTGGTCCCATATGAGCTAATGGGACACCTCAGGGTGCATCCAACCCACTTTCCAGAAAAGTCAAACGAGAGACTGTCACTGATCTTGGTGGAGCTCGATTAGGCCTGGTGTGAAAAATTAAACTCATGAAGGTAGGACAAGAAGGAATGAGCGTAATCTGCAGCAAAGGAGATTTCAGTTAGATATTAGGAAAAACTTTATAACTCTAGGCATAGTTAAGCTCTGGAATAGGTTTCCAAGGGAGGTTGTGGAATCCCCGTCACTGGAAGTTTTGAAGAACAGGTTGGACAAAGACCCATCAAGGATGGTCTAGGTTTACTTGCTCCTGCCTCAGCCCAGGTGGCTGGATTTGATGACCTCTCAAAGTCAGTTCCAGCTCTACATTTCTATGCTTTTTTGTCTTTGCAAGTTTTAGGGCCTGATCCAATGCCCATGAAAGTCAATGGAAGCCTCTCTCCAGTTTTGGTTTAACTGGTCAGGAAACAGAATTTCTGTTTTGTGGGAAAGTCCAACATTTTGGGGAAGAAAACTGTTTTGACTCAGAATGAAAAGGCAAAATTTTGAAACTTCCTGCGGAATAAAAATTCTGAAAAATATTGCTTTGATACTGTTGAAATATTTCATTTCTATATTGTTGTTTTAATTCAACTTTTATATTATATTCAAATATTCGTTGTGTATTAGATATTTGTATGTGTTATATTAAATATTCGAATATAATATAAAAGTCAAAACAAAAAGATTATTAACAAAGCTGCAGATTGCAAACACCTCAAGGACAATGAAATCTGGGCGATGGGAGTATTAGGAAATAATTACATTAAGCAGAAAATCCATTAAAACAACAAAACCAAAAAACTGCCCCATCCCAGCCTGCAGAACGAGACTTGCGCACAGAGAGGAATAGGTTATTAATGTATTGTTGTTATTTACGTCACAATTGCACCTAAAGCCTCCAGCCAAGATAGGGGCCTATTGTAGTAGGTGCGGTAAAATCACATAGTGAGAGACACCCTCTGCCCTCAAGGAGCTTTCAGTGTAAATAGACAAGGCAAACAAAGGGCGGGAGACAGGAAACACAGACACTGTGAGGGGAGATGGTTTGCTCAGGATTACACAGCAAGTTACCAATAAAAAGTGGGAAAAGAATTAAGGTCCAGCGCCCACTCCACTGTTCAAAACTCTATAAAGCTACAGAGTAGCAGGAAGCAGTGGTGGATTTTGGGAGCGCTGTGGAGAGCAGCGGACCCTCCACCCAGGGCCAGCCCTAGACCAAATGGCACCCCCCCCGCATTTGTTCAACTTTTGAATAGCTTATTTTTTTATTGCATTTGTAGCTCATTTCGCAACTTGGATGTATGATTTGCATGCGTGATTTATCCCTGTCATATAAGCCGATCAATTTGCACGCTAGGAAATGTAAATCCGTATTTATTGGTGCCATATATAAACAAATAAAAAAATTCGTTTCCTCTAAGCTTATAGAAACTTTTTAATGTTAAGAATAACTGAAATGTACTAACATCAAGAAATTGAACTGTACACCAACACTAGGTGGACCCATTGGTGGCACGTAATGGGGGCTAGGGGAGGCTAAACCTCCCCAAACTTCCACGAATGCTCTCCACCATGGCCACGGTGAGGCTCAGGGCTCCTCCAGGCATCCGGGGGTTGGGGCAGCTCGGGCGGGCAGGTGGGCCAGGGGTGGCTCAGGTGGGCGGGCTGGCGGGCCGGGGGCGGCTTGGGTGGGCTGGACTGAGGCTCCTCCAGCCACGGGGAGGGGCTCGGGCGGGGGGGGGGCAGAGTGGGGCAGGGCCTCAGACAGAAGGGGCAGGGCCTCAGGCAGAAGGGGCGGGGCAAGGGGCTAGGCTCCTTGAACAGGGGGCTCACGCGCCACCCATGGGTGGACCAGTATTAAGTAGCGTTACAGTAGGTGACAGGCTTAGACTACGAACCCTAGTCCTTTATTTCAAAAGGTCGCTTTTCTCACCTTCGCCCTTGTGAACTGAAGCACAGGGTCGGAGAGATCCACAGCCTGGCCAATGGTATTTTCAAGCGATAAAACAGGCAGTGATGTCAGTCTCTCGTCGGCCATCGTCACGCAAAGATACGTTTTCAGGAGCCTGAGCGTCAAAATGGAAAACGTCGTTCTCAGTAGATCTGGAAGGTTCCCGGAGATTCTACAAAGGCCCAGAACATTCTCGGCGGTTAGTGAAAAACGAGTCCGCGCACGGAATAGCTGAAACATGTGACCTCAAACGTTCTACTTTCCCTTCCATCGCTAACCACAAAAACAGCCCCCTGAGTCCGCACTCCAAGCGGTCCCCTGGGTCACCTGCCCCTAAATCCGGCCCCGCCTCCACCTGCCCTGGGCGCCAGGGTGCCCAAGAGCAGCCCCCGGCCTGTGTCCCCACTCCCTAGCGTGTCCCGCCCAGGGCAGATGGAGAGTCCAGGGCTCTCCACCGTGGTCCAGGCTCCCTGGGAGGCTCTTGCCATGACCCGGCTCCGGTTTCCGGCCTGGCCAGGGGGCAGGGCCTCAGGAGGAAGAGGAGGAGCAGGGGGTGGGGCCCTCAGCCCCCCAGCGGGAAGAGGCTGGCGCTGCTAGCAGGGGCTGTGCTTCGCAGCGGGGGAGCTGATCACCTCCTCCGCCGCGAAGCGCAGCCCCTGCCTTCCCGAGGCTACTACGCCCATGTTAAAAAGTGGGTGGGCCATGGCCCCCCTGGCTCCCAACATCCCTAGACCTCCAGGGTGTGGGGAGCCCAAATGTTCTTTGTGTCCAGGGCCCCAATAAATGTTAATCCACAGGCAGCTCCCCCTATGTGCCAGGAGCTCCCAGAAAGCCTGGCGCCGAACCATCCTACCTCCACCATGCGAGGCATCATGGAGCCCTAGATGAGTAAGGCCGGGGGTTTAGAAGGAACCTATTTGCAGGAGCAAAGCACAGGTTTGTAAACTCAGTTCCGTACTTCTGTTTGTTTATATTCTGATGGTGTCTATTCAATGGTGGCTCCATTGTGCTAAGCTCCTGTCCCAAATAGCTTACAATCAAAGGGTACGTCTGCACTAAAGGTGGGAGGTGCGATTCCCTGCCTGAGTAGACAGACATGCGCTAGCTTTGCTCGAGCTAACATGCTAAAAATAGCAGCATGGGTGGTGGCTTGGGGTAGCCCCCTAAATCCAAGCCTGTCTGATTCCCGGGTCCAAGCTTGGGCAGCTAGTCCAAGCCACAGAGTCCACACAGCTATTTTTAGTGTGCTAGCACGAGTCTGTATACCTGTGCTGGGAGTCACACCTCCCAGCTGCAATGTAGACATACCTTAAAGCAGGGGGTTCTCAAACTGGGAGTCGTGACCCCTTAGAGGGTCACAAGGTTATTACTTGGGGGGTCGTGACTGTCAGCCTCCACCCCAAGCCCCACTTTGCCTCCAGCATTTATAAGAATGTTAAATATAAAAAATGTGTTTTTAATGTATGAGGGCAGGTCGCATTCAATTTATAAGCAGGGGGTCGCACTTGCTGTGTGAAAGGGATCACCAGTGCAAAAGTCTGAGAACCACTGCCTTAAAGGGCCTGATCCAAAGCCCATTGAAATCAATGGGAATCTTTCCACTGACTTCGGCTCAGACCCTACATCCCAAACCATGCACTAGTGCCTCAGTGCTGTCAACTCTCACGACAATCTCATTTTTCTTAAAGCCTCAGCTCTGGGAGTCATGTGATTACATGAGAATTTCACCTTTCTTTCTTTCTTTCTTTCTTTCTTTCTTTCTTTCTTTGTAAGTTTTTAGCCCTCATGGTTGCAGAGAACAGTTGTGCAGTCGTGAGATCTAAAGGCTCAAGGATTAGAAAAATCTCATAATTCCTAAGTCAGTATCATGATTTTTTGAAACACGATTCATGAGTTCTGAATGCTTTGGACTGGCAATTCTGCTGCCTGTGTGGAGCTCATTGCAGGGTTGCAGTCTAAATATACAAGACCAACAAAGGGATATAGCATGGAAAGCAAGTCTGAGGGCTCCAATCCTAAAGCCTTTATGCACTAATCAATTCAGTGTAATCAATGAGGATTTGAGCTGTGCCAGGACTGCAGGCCCAACCCTGAACAGAGCTGAGCACCCAGCTATCAGCACTTTGCAAGACTGGGCCCATTGCGATGTTCCCCAAGCACCATGCCTTGCTTGGGGAATGGGGTAGAGGAGAAAGTGGCCTCTGATATACAGGCGAGACAAGGTGATCTGGTGGTCCCTTCTGGCCTTCAACTCTGTGATTCTATGAAAAAGAAATAACAGAATAATAAATAATCAGTTTTGCCAACCCCAAACATTCATAAATCACATTTCCACAAAATCATGAGTCTGGCATAAAATAAATCACAAGATTAAAAACAATACACATGGGATTCTTTTTATTTGCCTCCTGGCTTCTGAGCTTTTGGGGGCACAATCAGGGCCTGTCTTCACGCTTTTCTCTGCCGTCGGGAAGCGAGCAACTTAGCTTTCGTTAAAAACAAAAACAAAAAAGAGTGAGATTCTCTCCTAATCACATGCTCCCAGAGTGGGGGTTTTACGAACCCCCCAGAACACGCGGAGACGCACGAGACAATCGCGGGAGTCCCCCACCACTGAATATTTATTATCGTTCCAGTGACATTTGTTTTAAAAAAGCACGGCTAATGCAAACAACGAACAGGGCTACGGCCCAGCCCCGCTTTTCCCAGCACAGCCTGTTTGTTTTGCTTGAGTGAGGCGGCTGGCTGCCTGTTGAAGGAGGCTGAGTATACAAACTCCTGCCAAGCAGGGGTGAAGGGGGGGGGGAAATCAGGAAATCAGCTCCATTGGAAAACATTATTGGGTGCTCTGCTCTTCTGGCCAGAATGATGCCCCTCTTGCGGCTTCCATAGAGTACAGAGAAACTACAACTCCCAGGCGCCCTCGCTGCAAGCCGGGGGGGGGGTGATTTCTTGATACTAATTTATTAATCAAACCCATCAGCCTGCAGCCCCGGCGCCATCACCTCAGCCACCCAGCCAAGGGGGCACCGAATAAGGTTGACAACTAAACGCACCATCACGCTTTATTCCAACCCCCCCCCGTACCTCAGCTCCTCTCCTGGTGCATTCTGGGAATTGTAGTCCCTCTCCTTGCCCAGCTGGCCAGGGCAGCCCCCTGGGAGAACTACCACTCCCAGAACGCCATGCGACAGAGAAGGTCTGTTGCAGTTTAAAAAAAAAAACAACAAAACAAAAACAAAACAACCACTCTTGGATGTCCAGCTTACTTGGCTGCTGCTTTAATTTGGGCTCGGAACCACCCCCAGCCCCCTTTCCTCCCAACCAGCCTTTTGCTTTTTGCCCAGCTGAAATCTACTGTGCAGGCGGGAGGGAATAATGCTGGGCCTGAAGGGGTTAAAAAGAACAGCTTTGGGGAGAAGGATGGGAAATCACCCATGCACCATCTCCCCACTCCACCCACCTTTATTGAAGCAGGGACTTCCTGTGACAGTTCATTTCCTGGTTGGATGGAGCTGGAGGAGGCGGGGGGGGGTGATTGGAGTCAGATCAGCCCTGTAATGGTCTCTGGTTATCAGCTGCTGTTCGCCTCCTTTAAGTGGCAATGTTACCTTATAACCATGTTCCACCCAGTGCCGGCAGACAGGCTGCAGCCGTGGTAACGCTGTGGCTTAGCTGCTAGCGACAGCCACCCCTTTGGCTCCTAGGTGTGTGTGTGTGGGGGGGGGTTTACATGGAATCATTAGCTGCCCAGGAAGAGGTACATCATCCTTCTGTAATCAACTGCTTGCAATGCTTTTGGGGGCTGGGTGATGAAGGGCAAGATTTTGTGAGTTTATATTGAGGGGAATGGGGGGAAGATCTGGCAAGGGGTATGTTTTGTTTATTTTTTTTTCCTGATTATTTGCAAAGTGTTTGTAATCGTTTGTCCCTCTTTGTTTTTCTGTGCTCCTTACAGGTCTAAATCTGACCAGCTCTGCCTGCCAGGAGGGGGGGGGAAAAAGGCATCTGCCCTACTTCAAACAAATCACCACTAGGAGTGGATTATTTTTATTGGCTGGAATCAAGAAGGTGGGGGGAAATTGGACCTTGAAAAATAACATCACCTTTAATCGTAATAGAATTATATCTCCGGAGAGATGAAGAAGTTTTTTGACTCTCGTCGAGAGCAGGGCGGTTCTGGCCCTGGCTCTGGTACCAGTGGAGGAAGCGGCAGTAACACGGTGGCAGGGAGTGGGTACATTGGCAGGGTGTTCCATATTGGGAGATACCAGGTGACGGTGGATGAAGTGCTGGCTGAAGGTAAGATTGCACTGTCTTTATTTTTCCTTTAGAAAGCTGTTCTATTTACTACGAACAGAGAGGCTCTGGCCTTTCTTTAATCACCCATCCCACCCCCCCAAGACTTCATTGCCCTGGAGGGGTTTGTGATTTGATGGCATCTACAGCAGACAGCTTTTCAGTTTTTCAGATATGTAAATCAATTGGGGGTAATACTGATTCCTTTTAGAAATCCAAAGGAGACCATAAAAACAGCAGGGATTGGATTTTTCCCAGCTTGCAACTTGGAATGCTTTAAAAACAAAAATCATGGCACATTATAGTGGAGGAGCTCTCCACCAATAAACAATGAAAGCAATGGTCTTTCCCCTAACTTTCTCCAGTCAGATTCCTCCTTTCCTACCTTTGTAGGAAAGTCTCCCTCCGTTTGTAGTGTCTATTTTACAGACCAAGTAGGGCAAACCGCTGGTTGGGGTATGGGATTGTCTACGGATGTGGGGCTACTGCAAAGAACACTAGAATCCAGATTACATGTTTGGGTTGTAAAGTGTTTTTAAAAAGGGGGAAAAACCTAACAGGAAGGGTTTGGAATCCTAAAGGTGTCTCTAAACTGGATGTAAAGTGCTTGCAATGTAGAAAGCTGGTGGGGGGTGTGTGTGTAAATATAAAATTATCACTATTATTTGATCTGGAGCTCTGCTGGCGTAACTAGAATGTTGCGTGTCATATGCTAAGGCACTAACAGAACCTTCTGAATGTTTCTCACTAATAACCTTACCCTCGACCTTCAGAATAATGCTGTCTTCCACTAGACCTACTCATAGGCCATTCTTGGCACAAAAGCCTCTGAATTTTCAATCAGAGCAGTGTTTTTTGTTAATTGTATGGGGTTCTGCAAAGGCATTGAGTGAAATAAGCTTAATAGGGAGAAAGAAGCTGGTGCCTAAGAACTGGGAGGGGGAGGGCTATGCCAGCTGGAAGGGACAGTGTATTTCCCTAGGTCCTGTCTTCCCACTCCCCCTTCCCTCCTTTTCTTCACTGTGGTGTCTTGGAAATCTTTCTAATGACCTTTTCAAGTCCTGGTTGATCTGTAGCCTACCTGAGGGTGACTGAAAGGCTGATTGTGGTGCGGGCACGCCATTGACCCTGAGATAGGGAGGAGGCCAAAATGTATCCAGAACAGCCCACAAACTGGTGGCAATGGTGATTTTTGCTCTTGCTTGGTGAGGCACTGACTTTAAATATACGGACTGTATATTGGCCTGTTTCTTTAAGGCCCTGTTTGCAGTGGGAGCCTGGGTACTGGGCTAACTACCACCTGATCCTGCTGTCATTACACACACTGCCTAAAACTTGCTCTCTGGCCTCATCCCTGTAACACAGGGAAGGAATAGACTTCTTTACTGATGAATAATCGCTGCTGGCAAGTCCTACCCGGGATACTGATAGCAGCCTAAAGAAAGCTTTCATGCTTCTGGGACCTCTCGTGATCAGCCCTCATAAGTCGTATTATATGCATTTCAGTTAATCTGTGCTGTAGCCCACAGTTAAGAGGGCTGGGATGGAGGGAGAAAGCATGGCAAGGGGGAAATCCTATCCTGATAGCCCTGGAGCTCCTTTGTGAGTGAGTGTCTGTGCTGAGAGCAAGGCCTGGATTTAAGGACTCGTGGGTTCTAAACATGGCTTAGTGGTTAGGGAGGGGACTGGGACCCAGTGTTTGACTCCTGGTCCCGAGTCTGCCATCGACCTGCTTGCACAAGTAAACAGGGCACAGCTAAGCCTGCAGAATCAGTACGATGCATGCCTTGGAGCAAAGCTACCGGGATGTGAGAGGAGTTAAGTCAGTTCTTCTGTTGGATGCTGGTGCCTGGGTCCCTTCCCTCAAACGGGCTGATTGCTACAACTGATCAAAAATCCCTAAGGATGCTGAGAGCATCTCCTACTTGGTGCTTGTCTTAAAGGCCTTGTTGTTCACCAGCCCACTTAATGGGGCTAGTGGCTTAGCGAAGGCCCGTGAGATGATGCTGCAATGGGGGAATAGAGGAGATCACCCTCCATAAGCAGAGGGTACAGCCGAGGAAATCTGGGTCACATGGGAGGCAGTGTAGATCAAACATACTGCAGCTTCACATTTTGCCTGCCGGCTGGCATTGCATTCAATGTGCCACTGCAATGCTCAATCAGGGGTGTAAAGGAAGCGAGTTGCATTGGCAGCGATAGGGATCTGGAGAGCAGCCTGGCAACCCGGGCCTTGAGCTGGTGCAATCTGGATCCATCTCGGATGGAAAACCTTGCTTGCACCCATATGATTCTGGGTGCGTGTGCTTGCTTGGCAGTTTTGAAAGGCTGAGCCCAGAAGCCTCATCCTCCTCTGCTAGAGGAAGAAACCCATTAGGTGGAGGTGAACTAAGATGTTGGCTGGGTAAAAATACAGCCTTCCCTACCCATTGCTTAACTAAGGCTGTCAAGTTGGTGGGGTGGCACAAGGCATAGAAAGTCAGAAGCAAGATGGAATTTTTGCAAAAGTGACTGAAGAACTGTAGCCTGAAATAATGAAGAGAGCGTGTGTGTGTATATACGTGCCTTGCAAACTCGAGGAACTAGTTTAACCAGCACTGTTGGAATTCAAGTGGCAGGAGCCTTCCCTCTGCCTAGTGGGACTTTTAGTTGCCCCCTTTGGATCCTGCTGAACAAACTCCGCTGAGGATGACTTATCCCTGGCTCATAAAGGAACCCAGGAAGAGCCAGTACTTTGGAATGCACCCAATGGCAGATATTTCCAAACACTATTTCTCCCCCCTGCCCTAGGGTGGATTTCTCCCCTCCCTCCCCGAACCTCCATAAAAATGTGTGTTCCTTTCCAGATTCAAATTATGTTTTGGACTCTTGTTTTCCTGCAACAAAGTCTGTTTTTTTTTTTTCTTAAAAATTTGGGAATAAGGTAGATGGGGTGAGGAACTTGGAGGATGATGGTAGAGTACTAATACAGATACCTCCCTATTCTGTGGTTAAAGTGAATTTAAAGGCTGACTTGTTCAGTCACTCTATGAATAGGTTTACCAATTCTGGTTGGACGTATTTCTGGAGGTTTCATCACATGACCTAACCTTAATTAAAGATGAATCTTTAATTCCTGGAGACTCCAGAGCAATCCTGGAGGGTTGGCAACCCTCCATCTATGAACAGCCATCTTTCTTTAATCCAATTGTGGGGTTGGGCCCAGTTTTTGAAGAGACTTTCTCCACCAAAGTTTACAGAGAGTTAGGTACTCCAGAAGGCTAATGCTGTGCGTGTTTTTGTTTTTTGTTTTTTTGCTGTTTTGTTTTTTTTTTTTTTTTTTTGGAACCCTTCAAGGCCTGCTTTAAAATCAAGGGGGTCAGAATGTCTCTCCTAAAGGCAATGAGTTTTGCCACTGATGTTCCTGAAGCCAGAATTTCTCCCTGGATGTATCACAAATGGCGGCTAATGAGTCCCATGAGTATCCTGTTTCCAAAAAAAGGACAGTAGAATTGAGTGCAGTTCTTCATCTCTGCTTCTGAGAAGACTGGAGCTAGAAGCAATGGGGATGTGGCTGTGATGGGAGAGGGTTGGGATGGTAGAAACCTAGTTTAAAGGGAGTAACAGAGACTTGCAAAGGAGTTCATATGTCGGTGCGTCTTGTGCCTCAGAGTGCATGAGTGTCCTGCTTGTACCTAATGGCTTAAGTTACCAAGGGCCGTGTTCTGTTCTGTTACCCCCGTGTAACCCCAGAAACTACATGGGTGTAACGGAGGGCTGAATTTGGCCAAAGACGTGTGTGCATATTGGTAGGCTCATGTCGTCATAACTAACGTCCCACTTGTCTTTGGCTGCTTGTAGTTAGAGGCAACATTTCTTCCCGTTCTATGTACATCTGCTTTTTAAAAACTTCTACGTGTTCATTTATTTAGCTTTCTGATGCTGATTTTTGTAGAAACGTGTAACTCGGAGGAGTTGGCTTAACAGTTTTTTGGGCTCTTCACTCAAATTTTGCAGCCACTTCTGGTGAGCGTGTATGATATTAACTAGAAAGATTTTCCTCACCAAGGTGTAGATCCTAACATTCAGCGATATGGAATATAATACGTATGGAAACGTGCTGTTGCAACAATGGAGTGCGGGCTTTGTATTTCGCTAGATCTTAGCGAAACCAATCCTGCAAAAGGCTATTTTGTTGCTCTTCTCTATAGAGATTTTAAAGGTGACGAGCTTTGTAACTTCTCGGGTACCATTGTGCTAGTAGCATAGATCCCACTTACGCAGTTCAGCCAACCCAGCTTGGATGAAGTTTTTGAAGACTTGAGCAGGAATCAAAGTAAAGCCCAACTATTTCTGGTTGAGACTATTTGGCCTCTATGGGTTACTTTGTACCAAACGTCTGGTGTTCAGAACAAGCTGAACATGGATGTTTTTGGGTTGCACACTAATCCCTTTATCTACTTGAAATGGGGAACATGCCTGTCTTTGTATAGGAGCAGTGTGGATGGGGCGCTGGCTGCTCCACGTTCTAGCCAGCAGCCTTTTGAACTTTGATATCCTGAGCGAGAAGCTTGTGACACACAGCACGTTCTTAACGAGATGGGCTCGGCATGAAGGAACTATGTAACTCCAGGAGCCTGGGGAATCTCAAGTGGCTTGTTGGATGAATTTCACAAGCGCCTAAGTGTTTCTTTGCTTTTAGCACAACTTGCTGTGGCCACTGGTGCATACTCGCAGTCCCTAGATATAATCAGGGTGTTAGGGAAGATGCTAATGGACTGAAGTGCAGAAGGTGTTCTAAACAAGCTTTTTTTCTGTGCACAGTGCTCGTGGAAAGGTGCTTGACAGCCCTGGAGACTGAAATGCTCTCTCCCCTGCCCCATGGTGTTTATATAGTACCTAGCAAAGTGGAATCCAGGTTGTAGTTGGGGCTATTGGGTGTTAGGTAATATACTCACTGAATGTTAAATCTCACCAAATGAGGGTCGGTCAATCCATCCTCCTCATCGTAGCCACTCATCATA